ATCAACAATGCTACAATGACAAAGTCGCTTATATTAAACATAAAACTTTTATGAACAGATAAGAACAAATAGGATCAGTGGCGTAGCGTCTATGCAGGGTATGCAGGTTCATATGGGCCCGGGCAGTTTGGGGGCCCGCCGAGCTGAGGGCAACGAGGGAACGAATAGAGCCCTGCATGGGCCCGGCCCTTGTCCAACAGCTTTATGAGAATTCTTGGCCCGAGTCTGACTGGATACCGTGTCTTCTCTCTCTCTCTCTCTCTCTCTCTCTTCCCCATTACACCCCCCCCCCCCCCCCGTTTTATTTCTCAGCCCCCCCAGCTCAAAACACGTTATGGCTATGGATGGGGGGCGCCAATAGGGATTTTGCCTAGGGCGTCAAAATGGCTAGAAACGGCCCTGTTTAAAGCCATTCATACTGTGGATCTTTTTTTCATTGTAGCCTAATAACAGTATATACTATCCGTTTACCAAAGTGGCATATGCAGTTACAATAAATAAAAAAAAATAAATAAATAATAATTCATTCATTTAATTCAGGTTAACACTAAACAACAGTAATCAGTGATCTCATAGGTGCAGCCCACTCAGGTCACATGACATGCTACCTTTTTCAACCCCACACCTATGTTTACTCACATGTCTGCCATTGTCACGATGTCTGCTGTGTGTAAACGATCCCTGTACTTTTTCTGGTTATAGACGACTGTCGCTTTCATGTGCACACCTGTTGTAAACATCCGTCACTGATTTCTATGTGGGAATCCGAACTTTTCACTTCCAACCTGTGCTAACTCTCCTGGACGTGGAGATGATGATGATGGTGGACGAGAGTCCGACTGTTTCTGTGAAGGGTCTCATAAGTAAAGTCCTTGAAGATCACAGGAGCAGAGCTGATCCTCCTCTCTTACTGAAGAATGGCTCTCAGTTTAAGAAGAACCTGGAAGTTGTAAGTGCATTTACAAACTGACTACACTTGCTCTGATTGTGCTTGTGGTATTTATTTAAAGTTTGTTTTGGAAATTGCTCCCAACAGTGACTTTGTGAACAGCTGAACTAATTCATTTAATTGGACAGGCTGTAATATGAGATTGGTTAAAGGGAAACCAGTTGGATGGGATTTTAAACCTTGAATGAGGTGATGATTCTGAAATACAAAGACATTGTCAGTGCAAGAAGATATTTCAGATATTTTATATGTTAATATATATATATATATATATATATATATATATATACTGTATATGCATTATATTTATGTATGTATACCAGATTAGGTTGTTATCTGTAAGATTTTAAAAAAGTTTTTTTTTTTTTTTAAGAAATGCTCACCAAGGCTGCATTTATTTGATCAAGAATGCACATACTGAAATATATATACTAAAATAGAACTGTTTTTCTATTTTATTATATATATTTTAAAATGTGATTTATTCCTTTGATGGTAAAACCGAATTTTCAGCAGTTTGAGAGCAATTAAAATCATAAAACCGATTGTATTAATAATTATAAAGAAATTATTAGTTTAGTATAGTTAGGTTTTAGAAGTACAGAATGTCACACACACAAGATAATATAATTTCAATATTGCATTTTGCATGTTTTTAACACACTTTTTTCACAGAGCAATACTTTTCCTAAAGTAAAGTAGAACTTGACATCTTTGACATCTGTTTGTACAAATGGAAAAGTACTCAAAATAATGATGACCCTCTTGACTCACTCCATAAATCTAATGTATGTTATATATACAGTATATCTATAGATATCTTATAGATATCTGCATTATGTAATAGTATTAATAAATGGCCCCTGTCTTTTTATGGTTGTTTCAACAAATTCTAGACATGGGGTTTAGAGCTACTGTTTACACTGACAAGAAAAATGACTTCACTGTGTGTTTCCCCAACATCCCATATGAGTCAATTAGCTAAAGTACACAATGAGTAAGGAGCTCTCAGGCTTTCACTACAGGCTGCTTTTGTTTGTTTAACTGTGGTTTCTTTGGAGCTACCTGTATATCTCACAATTCTGTTGCCTGTGTTTTGATAATATATATTTTTTGATAATATAACAATTTTATTGTTTATATGGCTATTTGTTTTGTAATCTGTATGTTCTCGCAGGTCTTATCACTGTTAGGTGGATGTTTCAACCAATCTGATCTTTCAACAAACTGACATTTTGTGAAAAAAAAGTGGTTGAAAACCTAGACATGATGTTGATATGAATGAATGTTTTAT